GGGGGTCGATCTAAACAGCCGTTATTATTTCTAAGCTAATAAAGTGCGTGTGAGATTTTTTGTTAGGGTTCCGTGAGCTTGTGTGCTGTTCTAGCGGGTTTTATTAAACCTAACTGCCTATTACACTTTTTCTTCTAGTATTGTATTATTATATGTAAATGTAATACAGGAGTGAAAAATAATATTTTGACCACAAATCTGTATCACGAATAACAATTTTGAAAATCAAAACGTTCAATAGATAATACGATTATATTACAGGAATTGCTCTGCACCGCGCTTTCCCTCGCATAATTCCTATTTCTGTAAAAACACGACGCTATTGTTCTTTCACGCCAGTTTTCTGCGAGGCCGTGGTATCACTCCGATCTAACCGACCCTTTCGTGGCAAAGCAGGACTCTTCCACACTTCTAAAGTTATATCAAAACACAAAAGCGTTGATTAGTATAATAAAAGCATCAAAACTATCCTCCATACAACAAAAATAATTAATCTGCACTAATATTTGGCTTAAAAGCCTAAGTAAATAAACAACAAAAGTATTCCTCTTTATAATATTAGTAAAGATCAGATATCGATTGTGAGACCTTAAATAAAAATGAATGGACAGATTGCACAGAGTACTAAACGTAAGGACACACGAATATCATAAACCCTAACAGCACTATACCTGACGTTATCGCAATATCTTCACGACCTATTTGCCTAATTTAGGAGCAGAATGGATTGGCCTCATTGTGCGGGCCCATAGCGCCCAATGTGCCGCGTCTGTTCTCCATATAACGAGAGGCGCGTGGCGTGCGATCACTACGACTTACTGCCGACCTTAATGGCATACACCCTAACTGTGTGTTGTAACATTGCCTGCAGCAGTAATTCTAGACTGTATAGTTTTTTATGGCAACAAACGAGCTGTCGAATACCTGGTTGTAAGCAATCAGCGCCAAAAACAGCCAAGAAGAGGAGTTGCAAGTCTTCTTCTCCTTAAATATTTAATATCTTCTGATTTTTGTCGTTGTGGGATCGAAGATAGTCTTTCAGCTCCCAGGGACTCGGTTATTTTCAATGGTTAGGTTTTGATGGTTGTATTTAATGTAGATTTTTACTTACAGGAGTTGCAGCGGTTTAGGGAGGCAGAGGCGGGATAGACCCATTTAAAAAAAGTGCGTTGCCAATGTTATGGATCTAATAGGATTTAAACATTGCAGGTTTAGTTAGTTTTAGTTTTAAACTCAAACTAACAACCACATAGTAAAGTGCTATCAAATCTTGTAATTTCATTAAAAAACGATTTGCATCTACTTCGCTGCGATCTTTCGAGTTTCTTAATATCAAAGTTTACCGCATAGGCTTCATTCACAAATTCAAAGTTAATTAATTTAGAATTTTAAGATTAGACATTAAAACATTCGGTGACCGTTATTTATAAATTTATAGAATAGATAATATTGGAATTCCATTCATTTAAGTTTGGTCCATTCGAAATTATTTTACGTACAAATTCAAAAGTAGGTATGGGTCGACTCCGCCGACGTTATACCATGGCCGTGCAGTTAATCGGCGTGAAACAACCTCAGCGTTATGCTAAGCCGCATCCCTCCGCCTCCCCCATCCCATCCCAATTTAAATATCCGAAACCCTTATCTCTAAAAGGCCGGCAACGCACTCGTAATTCTTTTGATGTGGCGTGAGCCCATGGGCTGCACCGATTGCTTACCATCAGGTAATCTGACGGATTACCTGATGGTAGCTCGTTTGCCGACCTACACCATAAAAAAACTAACAAAGCAATGCTTACATGTATGTAGAAGACTTCCTGATGTACAAACACACGTCATATTATTATTATTAGATGAAGTAACGTAATAATAGTGATGTTGGGAGGCGTGGTCCCTTGCTTGTTTCTCGAGAGTTATGAGCTGTGCCGACGGTTACGCATAAAGAGCTACATTGCATCTTCATCGCTAGTACAGCAACTATTGCCAAATAGCTCTTATTGTACACAAATCACACATACACACGGACTCTTTACAAACTAGAATGCACCAAGCAATAAGTGACTGCACTTGTATACATTTCTACTTAAGTAATACTAGTAGGTATGTATTGATAGGTGTTTCTTACTTGTAAAGGGACTCTTAGTGTTCGTTTGAAACGTAATACTCTCTTGTAGTACTTTAAATACTTTCTCTGTTCTTCTGTACAGCATAAATGCATTTTCTTCCTAGCTAAGTACATTCGGTGAATTTATGTAGGTTTAAAATTGTCTATATCTATACCTATATGTATATAATGCTTTTGTAATTTAGGACTAGATGTAGTATATCATCTCTTAAATAATTTGAATGTTTTTATGTATTATGTACAATACTTTTACTTTTCCTATATAAAAAGCCCTTTGGTGGGTATTTTCTTTATCTCCACATTACAGTTAGAAATATTTATTTTAGCCACAATTTCCCATGCAACACGTGTTGCAACATGGCTCGCATCTCATTGCGGCGCGTGCGCAGTAATTATAGATGTTACATTATGTAACACGTTGCTGTAACGTCTATTATAGACGGTACTTACAACTCTTTTAACTGCTGTTAGAAATTAAAAAGTCCAAGAGGTCATTCCAAAATGTTTTACAATGTTTTTAATGATTTTACAACATTTCGGAATTTTGTTTCCAACTAGTGATAGATTGTAATACCTACTTGTAATAGAAAGCGTATTTGCATATTTCGCACAGTAGTGTATAATTTGACGCGGATTACGGCTGCTGGCAATAATATTGCGACCAATAAATGTACTTGCCTATGGCATTAAATATCTCGTAATCATTATTTTGTGTCTATGACGCTGTGTGTCCTATATTCCCTATACCACGGGGAGTGCTCCGTAAAATTATTCGGTTCAGTCCCTGCTGCATGTTTTCGCCATCGTTCCACGCGAAAACATTATCATCCCCATCAGATGGTTGGCAGTCAACAACTGCGAAACCTTCTGCCCCGCACAGCCTTTGGAATGATCTTTCAGCGAAGGTATTTCCGAACCTATACGACTTTCAAACCTCTTTTATTTATTTTTTTGGGAGGTTGGATAGGATGGATCCTCATGGAGAGCCATCGCCCTCGGGGAAGGGCGAAGGGTTCTGTCAGACTCTTATGGCGGTTATCGCCGAAGCATTCGTCGCATCCCCCACTACTAAACTCCTTTTTAAAAGGCCGGCAACATGCCTATGACTCCTTAGGCGTTGCATGTGTCCATGGACAACACGACGATATCACTTACCATCAGGTGATACGACTCATCGTTTGCCTCCTATTCCTAAAAAAACATTTACTTGTAAACACAAAAAATACACATAGAAATATGACTTTGTTTATTGTTCAGAAAAATAAATATATAACAATGAAACAATGAATTTACTTTTTAAATACTTATGCAAACATTACCTCAGCATTATATAAAAGAAACTAAATGAAGCCGGTCTATATTATGTGTCAATGAAGTAATAAAATTAATGTTCAAATTAAAGATCAGAAACTACTTAAATATTGTATTCACTAAGCGACAACATTCATCACTATCTTAATATATTGCAAACAATTTAAATTTAGCAAAACTTTCAAATTCAATTACATTTATTTTCAATTTACACATAACATACATTAACATATACATATTAGTCTTACATGTAAAACAAAACTTACTTATGTAATTTACTATAATAAAATTAATACATTATATAAAACCGCTTTAGGTCAGTTTCATTTAAGATAAGGACAAGATAAGATTATAATATATTTCGGAAATCCAATCTAATCCATCGTACACCTTAGCTAATTACCCTTCCACGTGTAATAAATCTTACAGTAAGTATTAACATCTAAGTACTAACATTTTAATTCAATAAGGAAAGTGAATTGAAAATTTTACAAAAAAATTACAACTCTATAGCAAACAGCATTCACCTCAAGGAGGTCACGAGGTCGCCTCGCACCTATGCAACACTAGTCATAAAGACTCTGTTAAACGCCTATCATTTTACAAATATATTGACAAGTTGATGCAATGCGGATAATGAGGAGAATTTCTTTTGATAAACTGAGAGAGAGCCATTCATTTAAATTCATTTGGCTTCGGCTGGGAATGTATAATTAAAATAAAACATTTTTATATAATATGATGCTGTGAATCAAAGCTACTTATCTACAAATCTAAGTCTGAGTATTCTCAAAATATCGGACCCGGAAACAAAAGCTTTTTAAAACAAGTTTTGCATCGCACTTGTATTTTTGTTTGTACACTTAACAAACAAATAATTTCATTTGCACAATTCATACCAGGTGCTCGAACACGAGCTGTGGCAAGATCTACGAATAGACCGGCTCAACAGGAGTGATGCCACGGGCCCACAGAAAACCGGTGTGGCACAATCCAGGTATTGTGTTTCGCTGTGTGAATGAGGTTACTGTAGGCCCAGTCCTACAGTGCGCCGCAAAGAGCTAAAGACAACCACAGACGGAGCCCTATAGGGCTGATGTTCAGCCGGGGTTGCGGGGTAAGCGCAATAAGGCACCGCGGCCTCGGCCTTGAGGGGGAGAAAGAGCAAGAGTTTTTAGTCTTCCTCTCGCCTCACCCTGGGCGGGAGAAGTCATTTGACGATTTTCCCCCTGAAAAAAAAGGCCCAGTCCTTCCGCTGCCCCCATCTCTCGCCAAAAAGCACTTTCAACTCCTCTGGTGTTGCGAGAGTCTATGGGCGGAGCCGATTGCTTACCATTAGGTAATCTGGCTGCTAGTTTACCGCCGCCATATCACTTACAAAAACAACAATATTAATATCTAATGTTAATGCTTAAACCAATTTACACCTTTCACCTAAGTGATTGTCCCCTAACAAAATGTTATGTCAGTACCCTGTCCATACATCAAGTACTCACTTGACGCGATACTTAGCTCTCAGAGTGAGTGACACTCACTCATCGACCTTATGAGTGTTTACACTCACGTGGTTTAGTTTGTAAATGTAACGTAGTGTCAAGGTTACTGTAAGGTATACCATGCCTCCTACATGGTCCACTCCTTGTCTTCTCCTACTTCCTACTGTTGCTACTGCTATCCCGTGGTCTGATAGCTCATCAGACCACGCGACCCTCGCGCCGTACCCTCGGGTCTGGTTCTGATCGGGCGGCGAGCTACCCTGATCGTACCTGCAGCCTGACCTGCTTACCGAAATCATTTGTGATCATGCCAACTAAACGTGCTTACAATATTGCACTTTAGAATCATACATACACTACAAACTAGCTTACGCCCGCGGCTTCGCCCACGTGGTATGTTGATAAAAATTAGCCTATGTCCTATTCCGGAGTGTATCCTATGCCTGTGCCAAATTTCATCCAGATCCGTCCAGCCGTTTTGGCGTGATTGAGTCAACAAACATCCAATCATCGTAACTTTTGCATTTATAATATTAGTAAGGTAAGACAGAAGCTTGTAAATATACCTAACTTCTACACACAAATATAATAAAATATTCTTTAAAAGCCTCGTGAAAGCCTCGTTGATCATGTTTACCCCGGCAATCACTCACACAATAATACTGAAAAACAAGATTTACTTAAATCTGTAAAAAGGTTCACAGAAAGTATACAACCTATCCGAGTGGATACAAGATTAGATTCAATGAGCCTTTTTTACGAACATTCTTTTATTTTTGTAGTATAATGTAATACAAATTGTTGTTTTATACTAAAGATGTCTAGTCAGTAAAAGGAATCTTTTAGTTTCGTTTTAGAAATTTACAATGTATTATTTTTTTCGTCAATAAATTTGATCTTATTTATAAGTATCTATCTAGACAAACGATAGCGTATCAAGCTGACAAAACCAGTGAGGAGAGAACCGCGTTTTTGAGGAGTTATGCGAACGTGTCAAGGCTTTTTTGTCAGGGGAAAATCATCTAAAGACTTTTCCCGCCCAAGGTAAGGCGAGAGAGAGTGTCAGACTCTTACTGACTAAGAAAAGAAACTCTAACTGCCCAAACTTTACAACAAAATTTCCATTCACGATAGTTCACACAGTCAAAGGTATTTAATCCATGTATGTACATTGTTCATACATAGACACAAAAACCGCATCACTCCGGTTCCGGTCATTATGACCCCGTCACCTGCAAGTAATGCACTCTCTTATTAGAAAGGATACGCTTTATGTATGTGCCTACATCTACTTATGTAACAATATCGTTTTTATACATAACACGCTAATGTTCTGTGAAAAAAATTAATAGAGTTACATTATAGAGTCATTCAAATTTGAATTGTAATAACTTTTTATGTCGTTCAAATACCAAGTAATCTTTCAATTTAACCCACTGTTGAGCCAAGGCCTCTTCCTCCACGGAGAAGGTTTGAGCATTAATCACAAAGCTTGCTCAAGGCGGAATGACAATTTCAAACTTATAATTGGAAATGATAAGTCCAGGTTTCCTCCACCGAATGTCAGTGGTATCTGAATAATCATAGAAAGCACATATAACTCGGAAAAAGTTACATTGGTACTTGCCAGGTTCCGAACCCGCACCGTCATGACATGTCAATATCTTGATCACATTGATTTAATATAATTTCCATTACATAAACAAATAACAGTATACGATTCCAATTAATAAACAAAGAACCAATTAATGAAATCATAATACGCTACCGTAATCCATCAATTATCGGGTCCTAGTGCACATTGGTTGCTCTAACGCAACTCCCAGACAAAACTCCGCACTTCACACCGTCTGCACAGTGGACAAAATTGATTACCCGCGGCCAAAATCAGCGTGAAATGCTTACGTCACGCAGCACGTGGTTGATGCAATATTCATTACCGCTAGATGTTTACACGGCAAACTATGGGAAATGTGTTTGTGTGTGCTATGTGACTAAACTGCTAGGTCAATTCTGATTAAGGTTACGTGTGCCAGCGTAACAGCTGGCGTGACATGCTTTAAGGAGTCAAATGTGAAATCATAATCAAAATAAACATTTTCACCTTCTTTAGGACAAATTATTATCTCCTTATTTCCTCCTTAATTTCAACTTAATATTATATTATGTACATCTAAATCTTTTACTTCTCATAAGCCATCTTTAACTTCAGCAAATTATAGGTAACAATCGAAAAACAACAACAATAACTAAGCACGTGACTGCTAGTAATTTATCCTAAAAGAAGTGTTGAAACGTTATTTATCAACATACATATTTAACAGAAAATCGATTAAACAGTACTGCGAAACGAGCCAGTGTGCAGACACGCGACTATCTCAATATATTATTACTGGCACGCTTGTTTGTTTATAGACCCTTACTAAAACTTCTTTCTTGTGAAGTATTATAATAATTTTTTGTAAAATGAATACACCTCGTGCCTATTTTTTATAGAATAGAAGGAGAAGTTGAGGTCAATGTTTTGTTGGAATTTTAAGAGGGAGCAAAAAGATAGGTTAAAAATATTTCTCAGCTTCTTTACTATCAAAATAGTTACAAATCAATTGGCTAAGAGTTCTAGAATGAAGCTAGAAATTACTCAGCGGTACACAGATTTAATTAAAATTTAAAAGAACTTTAATTTTAACAATTTCCGTTTAAAGGTCAATGATTTATTTTTTGTTAATAAATAGCGATACTTGTGTGGGTACACATATATTCACTGTGCACGCCAGAAGATTAATTTTTCTAATCTCAATACAGAGATAAAAAAATGACATTATAATAATGCTAAATTTTATCCAACACGGTTACATTTCCGCCCACCGTGCGTGTAATAAATCGAGCGAGTAATTTGTAACCGATGTAGTGTGATTTATAGAATACTTACTTACAACCTCTTCCATCACTATTAAATGTAATCTTCTTTCCAAATTCTCATAGGAATTGTATGAACAAGCTGGGTTTGAAATAATTAGGTGTTTGAAAGAACTTAGTCATTTTTATCCTGATTTTGCGAAGACTTAGTTAGGTAGAGATAGATAAATAATGCAAATCGAAATTTTCAAATAATTATTGACGATACGCTTCTGTCAATTTAATAAGGTTTTTAATACCACTCCGCATACATACATATTTATATGTAGGCCAGTTATTTATATGCTAATGTAGAGACACAATAAGACCATTTTTTTATATCATAGGACGCCAAATGTAGTCAGGGACCACCTGATCTGTTAAGAGTTTGATGCAAGGTCTTTGAAAATTAAGGATGGAGATGAAAACTTTGCCTCAAGTAGATAACCTCACTCACACTTCGTAACACGACGCAAGTATTGTATGTTCTATGAAACGAATAAAATGATCTCATTAAGCAAGCTCTGTATACATATGTATATATTTGAAATTAAAGCAACAGAATTATGAGAAACAGCAGTTGTTGCTTCTCTCAGTGTTCCAACAATACGTTACATTATATTACGATCCTATCTGTACTGTAATGGCTGCGATTAATACGAAACTAATAGCAATCACATTGGCGAACAAAGAAACTATAAAGTTGCCGAGAACGTGGTTTTATTATAATTATATCAAATGATATGACACTAGGATAAGCTATATAATGACTTTAAAATCATTAAATGGTGCATTATGAGTATAACTGCCGTACTCAATGAATGGTTGCTCAACCCTTAGCATTTGAGCGAAATCGTTTACTTATAAATATTTAAGTATCATTAGTAGTGTCTAAGATAAAGGTTGTTTTGAAGGGGGAGATCATCAAATTTCTTCTCTCGGTCAGGGTGAGGCGAGAAAGAATATCAGACCCTTACTAAATAAATAAAACCTAGGTATTCTACAACGATGATTTTATTTTGTGTCAGACCGGCAATCCCACATGAGCCACCTGATAAGCGGTTAATCGGTGCCGCCAATAGACACCAAATAGCTGAGGAGTTACGAGTGCATTGCCAGCCATTTAGAGGTTAGGTTATAAGGAATGAGGGAAGAAGAGGATTGGCCCCCGGTTTTCTGTACCGTCACAATTGGGTGCTGTAACTTCGAGCCTTGCTATAAGCACCACTAATGTTAATACTTTCATTATGTCACAGCAGATGATGTATTAATAACGAAACAGCACAGTTTACAACCCATATAAGTATGTACATCACAAAATCTAATATCCAAGGACATCACTTTCTTCGATCGTTCTTCCATCCATCCGTTCAGATTTTGGTAAATCATCTCTGTGCCTCTTGTAATGTAATCCTTGAGCTTAAGTTGCAAAATAGCTTAGTTATAATTTAATATCGCACACACGAATTCACGTTTCTATTTTCCTAGAAGACAGTCAAGGACTGCAAAATGGATGTAATGCGTGTTATAATAAAAATGTAGCGAGGTTGTTGACACCTACGTATCGTCACGACTGCAGATGTTATCACGGGGTTGGCTAAGGTCTCGTGCGAAGTGAGGTTGCAGACCCATTTTACATCCTCCCGGAGTCCTCCAGTACATGGGTCGTGACATCTAGTTCTAGCCATGTGTCATATTATGTCATGGTTGGACTTGGCCTTGAATTTAGACCTCTCTAGGAATTAGTGTTAACAGTTTTGGGTAAAAATTGTAAGTTTTTCCTTGCAAATGTTAATCAAAATGTGTCTTGTTCAGGTCTTGCAAAGAAATATTTTAATTTCCTTTAAAATTTCCGAACTACTACCAAATATTATTGGTTCACTATTCAATTGACAATTCGCTCTTTTGCACATCGTAAATAGGTATAAATTACAGTACAACCTGTATACCGATGCCAAATATTAACCAAATAATGCTTAAAATATCTGTTTACTGTAGCCATAACTGTACAGTCTATTTTTTACAACTTTAAGGTAAACAATGTACTATCGTGTTTACTATTTTGACTCGTCATCCGATTTCGAGTCTAGATCTCAGCTAATGACTATTTAAACTGCACCATTCTTTGTAAAACAACATAATTCGACAATGAACATAACAACTACAAAACAATGTGACATTCAAGTTTAAAAAAAGAAATCAAAATGTTTGAGAATGCGCGCGGTCACAAGATGTGCGCGTGGGCAATGAGCGCGACGTACGACGAATACATACGATTTCATTACGCCAACATGGCGGCCAATACTCTACTCGTCACTGCTCTGATAGCAACCGGAACTATACTCTTCCAACTAAAATACATATTACAAAGAAAAGTGAAGTAACAAAACGCCAGAATACCAAAAAAGAAATATGAGTTCTGTTCTGTTAAATCGGAAAAGAAGAAACCAAGTAGGCGATTATCGTCAACCAAAGACAGACGGGGCCCTATAGGGCTGATGTTCAGCCGGAGTTGCGGGGCAAGCGCAATGAGGCACTTCGACCTCGGCCCAGAGCAGGAGAAGGAACAGGTTTTTAGTCAGTAAGAGTCTGACATTCCCTCCCGCCCGGCCCTGGGCGGGAGAAGTCATTTGATGATATTCCCCTCACAAAAAAAAAAGTAGGCGAGGTGATCATACCTGACGGACTACTGTCAAACAATTATACTTTGGGATTTTCTATCGATATTAATCTGAGCGCAAACTTCAGTACGCGATTTAGTATTTGTGACGTCATCCGTTGATTATCGTCATTGATCTTCCATGTCAGTCGCCACAGTCATAGTTGGACAAAGTAAGAATAATTAGAAATGTTCACAAATTCTCTGTAGGAAATATGTACTGTGTATAGAAATTGTATCATAAATAAGAAAAATCAAAGAATGCCTTCTGGTTCTGACACTTATCCGTTTCGACAATTAAAGGCTGATAAAACATTTAAGTTTTTATAGTGTCGTGGAGGCCCGGAGGTTAAGGAGCCCGCTTCTCATGCATGAGGCAAGCACCAATGTGACTTTTGCCGAGTTATATGTACTTTCTATGATTATTTAGACACCACTGACATACAGTGAAGGTAAACATCGAGAGGAAACCTGGACTTATAATTTCTAATTATAAGTTTGAAATCGCCAACCCGCATTGAAGAAGCGTGGTGATTAATGCTCAAATCTTCTCCGCGTGAGAAGAGGCATTTGCTCAGCAGTGGACACTTATAGGCTGATGATGATGAAAACATAGAAGTATAACACTTTTTTTCATAAACCGTTGCTGCTTAGGATTTTTGGATCACACAAAGAATTGTTCCGTGCGGGAATCGAACTCTCGACACGTTGCGTGAAATCATTACCTCCAAAGCGGCATTAAATTGCAATTTGATAATTACAATAATTACTTGATTACTATTCAAACAGTTTCAAAACTAATTGTTAGCTTCTATAAGAGTCCCAAAACCCGGTCAGTTGGTTCAATGGCGGCGTCAGATCATCGTCATCAGTTAATGATGATCATTGTAAGAATCATGTACATTTGCAATACATATAGTATATAACGCAATTTACGATGTAATACATATAATAATGTAAGTTTTATGTTGAAGTAAAGGTTACCGCATGCGTAACTGTGTGTGTATGTGTGTGTGTGTGTGTGTGTGTGTGTGTGTGTGTGTGTGTGTGTGTGTAATAAATAAACATCATTGAATTGACTAGTTTCCTAGGTCAAAATAAATTAATTCGACGTTTTAGATACAATAAAATATTGAAAAATAACTATACTTTTATTCATTGATCGAAGTGTATTTCTTAGATATTTTTTAGGTAATTTTTAAGGAATAAGTAATCTATAGGTATTTGACGCTAAAATACTATGACGTCATAACTCAGTTTTTCATACAGATTTCATAGAAAAATATCGTTTCTGAGATTTGGATAAAAGTATTGAATTTGACAAGGAAACTACTGTATTTTATTTAATTTTGTGCTCACTATTAATGGTACAATGGAACATAACGCTGATCGTTTCACGCAATGATCTCTCTCTCTCTCTCTCTCTCTCTCTCTCTCTCTCTCTCTCTCTCTCTCTCTCTCTCTCTCTCTCTCTCTCTCTCTCTCTCTCTCTCTCTCTCTCTCTCTCTCTCTCTCTCTCTCTCTCTCTCTCTCTCTCTCTCTCTCTCCTCTCTCTCTCTCTCTCTCTCTCTCTCTCTCTCTCTCTCTCTCTCTCTCTCTGAGACTTTATAGTATTTATGGACTATAGTATCTACACTTTTTATGGGATCTTGCCTCAGTTAATCTCACTGACACGGCGAAAGACAACGCAACGCAAGCTCAGTTTCACGTCGATCTCATGTGGTAGTGAAACCGTGGTATCACGTTGGTGGAGCCGACTGTTAGTGCATGGTGTTCTCACGTTTTCATACTTGCAACTTTTCAACGCAGAACATTGATCAAGGTCGTATATTAGCCAGTGAGTCACCATCCACGAGGCACGATTTACTTGACAATAGCCACTAACCCGATTAGTACAATTAGCCTTTCTTAGCTAATTTCGTAGACGAAGAAAGAGAAGTAAGAATCCTGGGGATAAAATTCAGCTTAAACCATGTAAAAATACTGAAAATAACGACTTACTATACTCGCAGGGTGACGCAACTGCAGCGTATTTATATGTTTGTGTCATCGTTAGATTTACTTGTTTGTTTTGTTGCTTTTGCGTCAATAAATGGTTTTCCTTTCTTTCTTACTTACCTAAGCACGTAAATTAACTGAGTTATAAAATTCAAAAGTCAAAATCATTTATTTCAATTACACCCTTATAGGCACTTTTGAACGTCAAACAAAGCTTAAAGATAAACTCTTCGTGAAGCTTTCCTCGTTCCAAAGTGCTATTTTATTTTATTTTATTTATTTGGCTCACCAACAATTGTTTACACAATAAAATATTAAATACATTCATCATAATACAATACTTGTGTAACAATCTCTTATAGGTAAGCACAGCATGCACTATACTACTTAGTTAAAGTTAAGATTACAGATAATATATACAAATAATTATGACATTGTGAAAATCTAATTAAATACAGTGCTAAAATTACAATTGAAATTAAATTAAATAAAAAAGGAGGAAACCAATATTTTTAAAAACGAATTCTTTTGAGTTTGCTAAGTGAGTCATCGTATAGGTCAACCAGATCACTGCAACTATTTAATAATTTACACATGCGAGGGATAGGAGAGTTGGCACCAAGCTATGGAGAAACTCGGTAACTTTTTTTAAATCACATTACTAAGTTGGTTCGAATATATGAGAACAGTGTTACACTAATATTAAAAAAAAACCTTAAGGACAATAGACAGTCCGGATCTGACCAGTCCCAATTGACACGTACTCCAGCGTCACCCAACTCAACCATGTTATAGGGAATTGAGCGATCCAGTGACCGTGCCACCGCCAATGTGACCTTTGAGTGAGCATGACAACTCCAAGCTGACATAAGGACCGACATTCTGCTAGTCTTATCAATTGTAATAGGTTAGGAAATTCACGTTTACAAATTTGAGAAAACTACATATTACTAAATCCACACGTCGCTGTGTCTACACGCTGCGCTTGGATATGAATCGCATTGTGACTTGAAACTTGAAGATTTTGTCAATTAATTCATCTATGTACCTAAGTCGTTATTTATAGTCAATTAAATATGTCTCACAACAATTATTTGTTTGTTCTTTCCTTTCACGGGATCCGAAAGCAACTCGCAGAGGCTCATTGAACAGTCTTAATCTAACTGTGATAGGACTTCAGCCGGCAATTATCCCTGTACGCACTATTAAAGTGCACCCAAGAACAATCCCCTGTTGATGCTAGACTATTCATATTATTAAACCTTGTAGTAAACATAGTTTTGTATCTTGTAAAATGCAAAAGTACAAATAAATCAAGATAGAGTATTTGCGACCTCTCTAAAATACCTAAGCGGTGTAATTAAGCACTATAGTCACAACTCTTCTAAATACCTACACGAAAATAATAGACCAGATAAGTGTACTTTTATAACTTGTAAACTAAATAAAAACATTGTTCTCCTCGACAAAGTACGAGTAACTACTACAAAGTAAGTACTTCATACTTACTTTGCACTACATTATAAGTTAGAGCGACACACAATGTAATTCCATGAAACTCGAAACTTTGTACCTACAATTTCCCAGTTTTTACATCGCTACTTACTGTGTAGATTGTTTGTAATAGGTTTATTGCAAACAAGTTTATAACATACAAACACATTCATTCCCTCAATATCGCCTGCCTTTAATTGGGGTACGCAAGGACAATGCAACGCCAAGTAATTCTTCTAAATTCATCAATCAATTATTTTTAACAATAATCTAATAAATGTGATAGTCATAATTGTTGTTATGGTAAACCACACGGACTTCTTTTGTAAAAAAAATAAAATATTTAATTCTAGCTAAACTAAAGTGTAATTTTGAGAGGCCAAAATTGTAAACCATTTAATACACAATTATGGGTACTAGGGCTGCCTTGAATTTTTTGTGTATATAATATTTACAAAAACCTAAAAGAAAATCTTTAAATCATAGAAAAATCATAAATAAAAAAGGCCAGCCATGGCTCTCCCACACTTTATAAGACAAGTAATCACTACATCACTTCATAATATAAAACCAAGTCGGAGATTGAAGAGGTAGGTTTTATGTACATATGTATGTGTATGTATATATGTTTGTATAATGTTTATGCGTACCAGTGCAAAGCAGGAACGGGTCGATAATAAACAATATTGTTACGTGCCTGACGTCACGTTCCTGACTATGCGGGCTTGGGTTACGGGATTGGATGAAATGAAACACTAATACCGGTTTTCAGACTTTCTATTGCACTTAAGTTACAGCGTCCACGGAGTTAAGTTATCGGCGTTCTTCTTCAGCAGAGTCCGGCCGACTGACACAACTTTGCCGTTCACGCTGACTTAACTCACTTAACTGACTGCACTTCACTATTTCACTCACTTTTCTTCTTTTTCACTTCTTCCTTTTCTTCCGAATCACTTTAGACTTAGAAGTCAACTGCCAGCGGTGAGCCGCAGTTCTGCTTATATACCCCCGGTCAGGTTCTGGAACATTCAATTTCGTTATTCTTTTTGATCGTCATGCCTCCAGAACCTTCCAATAATTTCGCTATTCATTTTTATTTATTCTCCTTCTCACTCTTTAATTTTTCATCTCTTTCACACAAATAATTCCAGAAAGTTCGACAAAACTTCCATCAACTAAAAAACTTTATGTTTACGGCGGGACTCGAACTCGGGGTCTCTGTGGTGTAATCCACACGCCTTACCAATTACACCAACTCGTATTGACAATTCACGACGAAATTTACAATCTCTAGGCAACGTTTGACAACCATCCATTGACGTCATGATGTCAAAGAGTTTGAACCACTTTTTCGTCACACTGCCCCCCTCTTAGATTCGCTCGTCCCGAGCATCGTTGCTGCCGTAATACCTCGCCAACCTGTCTATATGGACAACTTTCAAAGGGCTCCTTGAAGTCTTCCGAATTCTGTAAGTAATGTCATTGATCTTCGTGACTATCTCATAAGGACCTTCCCAACTCGGTTGCAGCTTCGGAGATTTTCCCTTCCTTCTGACTGGATTATGAAGCCAGACCAATGACCCCTCTTCAAACCCAACAGAATTGGCTCGTCGATCATAGCGCGTCTTTGCGCGATCACTAGCTTGAAGACCGGCCTCCCTGATCTGCTCATAAATGTCCAACATTTTTGCCCTTAACTCGCTTATGTAATCGCTAAATTCGGTGCGAGAGTCGCCAGGTGGACAGCCCGATACAAGATCTGCCGGTAATCTCAATTCCCTTCCAAAATTTGCAAATGCAGGCGTCTTTGCGGTACTTTCATGTACAGCAGTCCGATAGGCAAGCAAGAAGAGAGGTATGTAAGTGTCCCAATCTCTCTGATGGCTGTCAACCACCTTTGCTAAGTGTCGTTCCAATGTTTGGTTGAAACGTTCGACCATTCCATCTGACTGTGGATGATAAGGGGTCGTTCGAGTCTTATGGATTCCCAAAAGTTTACAAGTTTCCTGAAAAACTTGGGACTCAAAGTTCCGTCCTTGATCACTGTGCATCTCCAAGGGCACTCCGAATCGGGTGAATACCTCGTTTACCAACTTCGTGGCTACAGTTACTGCCTCTTGATTCGGTATGGCAAAGACCTCCGGCCATTTTGTAACCCACTAAAACGTAGCGATTGCCCGAATCAGTGATTGGAAATGGTCCAGCGATGTCTAAGGCTATTCTCTCCCAAGGCATACCAACATTGTAGATTTTCATCGCCCCTCTGCTTCTTGTTTGTGGACCCTTGACAGCTGCACAACTAGTGCATTTCCGGCACCAATCTTCGACGTCATATTTGCAATGCAACCAATAAAACCTCTCCTTGATCTTCACCAAAGTCCTCCTAATTTCCAAATGTCCTCCAGAAGATCCATCATGGAACGCTTTTAATACATCCCTTATTTTTGAACGAGGCACCACCAATTGCAAATGCTCGTCCTTGCCGTTTGTTGATTCCCATTTCCTGCACAGAAGTCCGTTATGCATCGTAAGGCTTTTCCACTGTGCCCATAAACCTTTCGTTACCGCGCTATATTGGGCGACGTCACTCCAACTTGGCTTGTTACCACTTCGTAGCCACTCCAGTATTGGTTTAATATCTGCATCTCTTTCCTGTTCTAATTTCATCGCATCATCTCCCCATGCCTCGTCAACAGTATCAGTCCTTATCACCTTAAGAAAAGCAGTTTCCTTCTTGGAACAATGCTTGCAATCTTCCACGCATGGGCGTCTCGATAATGCATCTGCGTTGCCATGAATTCTTCCTCCGCGATGTTCGATTTCAAAGTCAAATTCCTGAAGTGGTTCCAACTATCTGGCTACTTGGCCTTCGGGATCCTTAAACTGAAGCAGCCATTTCAAAGCAGCGTGATCAGTTCTAATCAAAAATTTCCGTCCCAGTAAATACTTCTTGAAATGGTGCAGAGTTTTGACTACGGCCAGCAATTCCCTCCTGGTCACGCAATAATTCCTCTCGGGCTTGGATAGTGACTTGCTGAAGTAAGCAATAACCTTCTCCTGCTCACCATCACGTTGTGAAAGGACACCTCCTATTCCAATATTGCTGGCATCCGTATCTACTACGAATATTCCTTTCGCGCTGGGGTATCCGAGAATTGGTGTGTTACAAAGCCGTTCTTTAAGTTCTCGAAAGGCTTGCTCACAATCCTCGTCCCAGATAAAGGCACGTTTCTCCTCTGTCAATCGATGCAAAGGCTTGGCAATGTCCGAGAATCCTTTCACAAACCGCCGATAATACGAGCACAATCCAAGAAATGCCCGAACTTGCGTTTTGTCTTTAGGTGTTGGCCATTCCTTAACAGCGACAGTCTTGGCTGGATCAGTCTCAATTCCTCTCTCAGAAATAACATGTCCTAGATAATTCACTTCGCGCTTGAAGAAAGAGCATTTCTTTGGACTCAACTTTAAATTTGCTCCACGCAGCTTGTCGAGTACCTTTTCTAATTTCCTTAGATGATCGTCAAAATCCCGTCCAACAATGATGATGTCATCGAGGTA